ATTGTACTTGAATCATAAAAGCAAGACGCTAAAAGTGTTTGAAATCGAATTAAAATTACGCTAATTTTTCACATAACAGTAAACTTTAGAAAAATTTAAACTTCACTAATTTACTCAATGTGAATACACACAACAATCTTTATTTATGACTACACAAATTTATCTATCTCATTAAATCTAGCTAAACATGCTACTAAAGATGTTTGAAATAGGGCTAAAACCACTCTTGCTCACCAATTTAATATTGTTACAAACACATGGACAAAATTTTGTAGTCATATATCATCGGTGCGCTTTTCGTGTAATTCTTAAGGCGCTTTTAGGCCGGGGTTTCGCTTTTTTCTTGATTTATATCCATATGTTCAGCAAATACTTTACAAAAGTTGATTGACATAACGAATCATTCGTAAAGCATATATCCGCTTCAGCCGACGCATAGCACCCACCCATTATTCACATCTGAGAATTCCTTAATTTTTTTATTTTTTTTCTTGAAAAATTTTTTGTTTTTGTTATTTTATGGCCTTATAACAATTATATTCAACAATTTTTATTGATCTTGAGCTTTGTTAAAAAATATTAATAATAATAATAGTTTGGCGCTTACACATATGTTAGTGTTTGGCCGAGCTTCTCCTCCGACTTGTGGCGTGCGCCTTGATGTTGTCACACAAAGCGGAGGGACCTACAGTTTTACGCCGACTCCGAACGGCGATTGTATTTTTATGAGAAGCTGTTTTTCATGGCAGAAATACACTCGGAGGTTTGCCATTGCCTGCCGAGGGACGACCGCTGTTAANGTGATTTGAATTCATTCGAGCGTAAATGATTTCCATAAGCACAAACATGTGGAAGTAGGTGCGAATATAAATATATTTTGAAATATTTAAGTAACGGGTGATTTTTTAAGAGCTTGATACCTTTTTTTTTAAAAAAAACGCATAAAATTTGCAAAATCTCATCGGTTCTTTATTTGAAACGTTAGATTGGTCCATGACATTTACTTTTTGAAGATAATTTCATTTAAATGTTGACCGCGGCTGCGTCTTAGGTGGTCCATTCGGAAAGTCCAATTTTGGGCAACTTTTTCGAGCATTTCGGCCGGAANTGAGTATACAGTTTTGTACCACATTAAAATTTAGTATAATAAAGTGCAAGTTTTAACCTACTGCAAAATTGCGTTGATTTTTAATATTTTTTATGCTGACGGCTTTTTGCACTTGTTCTTATGGAAGGAAATGATCGAAACCGTTTTCAAAGAAAATTAAAAAAAAAAAATAATTACGACACTTTTGAAAACGCTTAATACTTGCACTTTATTATACTAAAATTTAATGGGCAACAAAACTGAATACTTAAAAAAATCTAAAATAAAATTTAAACAATTTTTAATTTTCGGTGTAAAAAAAATTCATAACTCAAATTATTGTGCACCCGAAACACTGTACTTAAATATTGCGCAACACTCAGAACTACCACTGTGATTTTTCACAATTTTTTTTTGAGATGGCATATTTTCAAAAACTTATTTTGTTTTAATCAAAAAAATTTGTATGTGAAAAAATTTTCAAGAAAAAAAAATAAAAATATTTATTTTCATGGAGAATTTTTATATGTGTGTTATTTGTTTCATATTGTTTCCTCGCCGCGTCCTCGAGATATTTGTTTTTGTGCTGCTAACTTTTTAAAAATGTATAAATCAGGCCAAATTTCATATTTATTTATAATTTATGTTTGTCCATCAACACTAAAATTTCTAAACAAATGAAACACATGGAAGTGTGAACCCCGTCCATTTTGGTATGGAACGCCCCATGTATTTTGGCTGGTCTATTTCGAAGTCGATTTTCCAGTCGGCAGAAATTGACCCGTTTAAAGGCAGCTCCAGGGTTGCTACACAGCTCGTTTTCATAATGTTTCCTAATACACTCGTGACCACGCAAACCTTACCATCCCGTTTTTATTTTTGTTAATTTTGAAAATTGATAAAACTAATTATTTTCAAAAAGCAACAAAAACTTTATGTACATAGAAAATTTTATCAAATTTTGAAACTTTTTAATACAACTTTTTAGGAAAATTTCGGGCATGTTATTAAGCCCATTTAACTTAAGTATAATAACGTGCAAGTTTGAAGTGACTCAAAACTCCTGGTGATTTGTGAAATTTTTTTGCCGTCGGTCTTGGGTAGATTTATTAGTGTACAAAATTATACGAAATTAAAAAAAAAAAATGTATAATTTTAGATAATTTTGGGAAGTACGACCTTTTGCACCAACTTTCAGAGTTGAGCTTTCTTGGTTAAAACAACCCCAGGGATAGTGAGCGAGGCAGTTCGCTAATCTAAGGTAGTTTACTTTAGGTAGCAACTTTTATGGAGACCTTCTACGATTCCCAACCAAGCGGGAGTGTGTCGGTTTTGAATTCTCCGAACATAACAATGCTGTGAGTTGTTAACGCAAAAAAAAAATTGTATTGTCTTGTGAATTTTTTGTTGGCGTTCATTTGTGTTAGCACTGAATTCGCACAGTTTCTCGGTAAAGCACTTTCAAAACCTCTACAAACAATTTTATTCATAAATAATTATAAATTCCACTCTCTGCTACCGCAACTTGCTCTATTATAATTTTATATTTAGCGCCTCATTATTCGCCAATTTATGTACGTATTTTTATTCATGCCTTATCCGACTCGATTTGTTCGTTTCGCTCTCATTCATTCGCCATTCACTTATGATATGTCAATTTAAAAAATTATATGTCTATTTGTGTATGTATGTACATACATACATATGTATACATACATATATTAATGACACTGGCTAAATACGCAAGTGGCGAAAATATGCAAAACATAAATATAAAACAAACAAATATGTATACGAAATGAAATTGAAATAAAAATATAATCGCAGTAAATGCCAAGCAAAAGACGAAACGAGCCGCGCAAAAGTCGTCCAGCTAGTCAGATTATGCTAATGAGTTTCATACGCTCGATTAATGGCCCCAAAACAAAACATCACACAAAAGGCAACGTCACAACAACAACAGCAACTAAATATATACCTACATACACATATACCAACACCAACAGCGACAGTAGCAGCAGCAAAAAAAAAACATAAAGCAACGACAAAACAACGAACAGCCAAGAGCCCGCATTTGTCATATTCGCCGCACAAAATAAAAAGGCTAAACAAATAAGCGCACGCATACACACAAACACACAGGCGAACGCTTGATGAGTGATTAATTTGTATTGCACGAGCGCGTTTGTAGTTACTCACTCAACGGCGGCGTACAGTGGGCACAGGACGAGCAACAAAGCAAGCGCCTGGAATGAATGGTGTAGAGTAGATTATGGAGTGGAGTGGAGTGGAGTGACAAAGTGCTGAGTGCGAAAAATCGCATAAGTCGGCGAAACCTTAACAACAAGTGCGCATGTGGCAAGTAGCAGCAGCAGCAGCAATAAAAGGCGACGACAATCAACAACGACCATGCGAACGAACGACCGACCGACACTTAATTAAAATATGTAGTTGCAAGACTTAATTGTTTCGCTCATTTGGCACGCTAAGCCACCCAGCGAGCGATAGGCGAGACGAACACCAACACAAACAGCAACACACCAACACCACTACATATTTACATTGATTGCAGTAATTCATTTCGATTTGCAAGCTTTTAACTGTTGAACTGTTGATGATAATCGATTACTTGCGTCAATGCACAACACATTGGCTAGCAACAATGTTGCAGGCCAGTAGGTACGTACGTATATACATACATACATATGTACATTCAACACAACAACCAAAACAAAACAAGAAACACAAACAACAGCAATCAATTTAATAAATATTTAAATCACTCATTCACTCACTCACTTTAGCAGTCAATTGGCTTGTATAACTGACTTTAATTGTTATTACAATTTTTATGATTGTTGCTTCGTTTTATAGTTTGCTTTTNAAAAAAAACAAGAAATACAAACAACAGCAATCAATTTAATAAATATTTAAATCACTCATTCACTCACTCACTTTAGCAGTCAATTGGCTTGTATAACTGACTTTAATTGTTATTACAATTTTTATGATTGTTGCTTCGTTTTATAGTTTGCTTTTTTTGTTATTGTTGTTGTTGTTGCTGTTGTTCCTTTTCCTGCGCTTATTGCCACTAACGCGCACGCGGCAATCATCAATAGCACCGACAACGACGACAAAAACAATNTGTAGAGTAGATTATGGAGTGGAGTGGAGTGGAGTGACAAAGTGCTGAGTGCGAAAAATCGCATAAGTCGGCGAAACCTTAACAACAAGTGCGCATGTGGCAAGTAGCAGCAGCAGCAGCAATAAAAGGCGACGACAATCAACAACGACCATGCGNTAAAAGAAAAACAACAAGTGCGCATGTGGCAAGTAGCAGCAGCAGCAGCAATAAAAGGCGACGACAATCAACAACGACCATGCGAACGAACGACCGACCGACACTTAATTAAAATATGTAGTTGCAAGACTTAATTGTTTCGCTCATTTGGCACGCTAAGCCACCCAGCGAGCGATAGGCGAGACGAACACCAACACAAACAGCAACACACCAACACCACTACATATTTACATTGATTGCAGTAATTCACTTCGATTTGCAAGCTTTTAACTGTTGAACTGTTGATGATAATCGATTACTTGCGTCAATGCACAACACATTGGCTAGCAACAATGTTGCAGGCCAGTAGGTACGTACGTATATACATACATACATATGTACATTCAACACAACAACAAAAAAAAACAAGAAATACAAACAACAGCAATCAATTTAATAAATATTTAAATCACTCATTCACTCACTCACTTTAGCAGTCAATTGGCTTGTATAACTGACTTTAATTGTTATTACAATTTTTATGATTGTTGCTTCGTTTTATAGTTTGCTTTTTTTGTTATTGTTGTTGTTGCTGTTGCTGTTGTTCCTTTTTCTGCGCTTATTGCCACTTACGCGCACGCGGCAATCATCAATAGCACCGACAACGACGACAAAAACAATAAAATGTTCATATGTAGGTATGTATGTATGTATGTAGAAGAAGCGACCACCACAACAACGTGTACGTACGATGTTAATGAGCAATCAACTGAGCGAACGTATTAGTCAGTGAACGAACGAACGAATAAGCGCCGAACATTGCCAGCAATGGCATAGAATCGAAATCGTACTGCGTCATACAACTATTTAACAACGACTGAATGTGGCAATTAAGTATCTAGATACATTTTACCCAAACTTTTATGGCCGTCGTCGTCGTCGTCGGAGTCGTCGCTGACGCCGCCATGCCAATTGCCTCAGCTGTTGCCGCCGCCGCCGCTGTCACAGTCAGNATACAACTATTTAACAACGACTGAATGTGGCAATTAAGTATCTAGATACATTTTACCCAAACTTTTATGGCCGTCGTCGTCGTCGTCGTCGTCGTCGTCGGAGTCGTCGCTGACGCCGCCATGCCAATTGCCTCAGCTGTTGCCGCCGCCGCCGCTGTCACAGTCAGCACAGTAACCGCGTGTATTGTTGTTGCTGTGAGTGTTGCCTGGTGCCATCGTTGTTGTCTTCGCTATATTATTTACCATCGTTCTGCAATCGACTCATCGCGATGCTCCACTATACGCGCAGCCATTTTCACATCCGCTCCCGTTCCCCAAAATTCAACGCTGTTCTTGTTTTAGATATTGTTGTTTTTTTGTTGTTGCATTATTCATGTTACTATTGCTGTTGTCATTATCGCTGGCACTGTTAAATGTTGGCCTTTGCTATGCTGCGCCATCCACCACCTACCAGTACGCGCTGCGCTCACCACCCCGCGCTCCAATACTTACATACTCACTCACTCACTAACATGCACATACACGTTCACTCACTCACTCATCGCTTGCTCGTTTGCTCGCATGCTCACATTTCAATGAGCGATGTTCACGCAACTTCAGTACAATATATTTATATGTATTGCATCTCCCACAAATGCTGTGTATTTGGATGGGTATGTGCCCTCATAAAAATACATGTTATAATAATTACAATGATTTTCTTTAATGTAGTTAGCACACTCTCCGCTTTGCCACTTTTATTGCTCTGCTGGTTTGATTCTGTTTCTGTTGTTGTTTTTGTACATATTTGTTATTTCGCATAAATTGCGCTCAATGAATTGCTACTGCCGCTGCCACCACTACCGTTGAAAAGCGTTAAATTGAATTTGTCATGAGCTTTCATTTCAACTCAGCAATCAACTTAAATGCTATTAGCAACATTTTTTTGCAACATTTCTTTCGCAACAAATGTTTACAATCCAATTGAGTGTTGATTGCCTGTTATACTTTTTGTTGTCGCAAACATTCTTGCTTCGCTGCTTATGTGCATGTGTGTGTGCTNAATATGATTTATATACGGCTTACCAAAAATTCAATGGGCTGCAAAGCTGCATACTCAGAATCAAAAAGAATTCATGCAAGGAAATAGCACCAGCACAAAACAGAAAACTGTACTGAAAAATTATTCGCACTATGACAAGAAGAACTCAAAAAATTTACAATAAACACATAATCAAAAAATTGTAATTAAAAATTTGTGCCTTAAACCAATCGGTGTCATAATATTAAGAATAAAAGTGATTCGATTGTTTCCACATGCAATTTGTTCAATGGTAGATAATTGTTCGTAATTTTGGTGATTGGAATGCCTAGTGGAAATTCGGCATAACAGTTTTATTTTGCGGTAAAAAAAGTTGAAATGGGAACTTTTCAAAAAATTTTCGACTACAAAATGCTCAGTTATATTGAAAACAGGTATGTATCTCGGCAGCCGGTTCGAAAACGGCTAAAAATCGTGCTATGTCAATTGAAAATATATTGAAAATATGTTGAGATAGGGCGTTTTGATAAGGCATGATTGGACCGAATTCTGAACGAGGGCTTTCTTCAATCAAAATTCAATATCGAGATAGGGCTTTATCGAAATAGCTGCCAAGATAAGTCAATCTTCCACTCAGCCGTCGATATACACATCTGATTTTCATGCAGTTGAAATGTGTTTAAAATTTTTAATACCCATTAAATATTAAAATAACAACCAAAAAAAAAAAAGATTCTCTGTGACAACACTGCTTTGGCCCAACACGAGGATATATCTGTCGAAAACGTCGGAGCAACTGAGTATGACACTCGCACTTTCCCAACCGAGAGCGCAACGAATGCGTGTATTTCCTGTTTCTGGGTGCGCTATCTGTTCGCAACATTTCACTCTCACATGAAACCATGACTCTTCAACCAATTAAGTTGGCCTCTGTGCTGGTTGCTACATTCTGCACCTACATATGTATACATGTATGTATGTATGTGTTATTGTCGCTGCTGCCCTCAGCGACAATGGCATTTAATGATGCGCTGCGCTTTACGAGCATTTCCAGCAGTTCAATAATGGATTATGGCGCAGTTAACACACTGTTGCATTGCTTTTGTCTACTCATTCATGCCTCCTCCGCCTGCCACTGACACTGCTGTACGGCTCGTCTCCTCCTGCACTTCACTGTATGTACATACTCATGTAATCACTTTTTGTTATGCGCTCAACTCAGCTTGGCTGGTGGTGTTTGTTGCTGCTGCTGTCTGCTTCTCCACTTTGCCGCTTGATTTATGTTGGTTTGCTGTGCAGTTTATTGTTGTTTAGCACGCCTCTGTATTCCTCTTGAATGAAAATGAAATTTTTTTTCCGTAAATTACTTACAACAAAAAATATGTATGTACATACTTGCTTAAGTTACTCAGCTATTTTCAGTTATAACTCATCATAAGTATTTGTGTTGTTATTATGCTTTTTATAGGTAGTTTTGTACATACATACATATATCATACGTTTTACTTTATTGCTTTTCCGTTGGCTTGATTCGTGATAATTATGTTTGTTTTACTTTACAGCATTGCTGGCGTTTTCTAAGTACTTTTCTACAATGTTTACGGATACGTTCTTGTTTTCTCGCACACCTTTTCACTGCTTCATTTCCCATACCCGGTCTGCTGCTCCATTAACATCTTTCTCCATTATCATCCTCTGTATGTACTTTTCTATTCTGCTGCTCGTACTTCGTGCCACAATCATTATAATGTATGCCTTTAATTTGATCTTTTCTTTGCCCACTGGCTTCTGTGCTGTTTTGTTTTGTTTTGTGGGTGATTGGGGGTAAGCGGCAAGTCTTGAAGCAGTCGAGGTTGAAAGGTGCTGCTGATGATGAGGATGTGGTGGTGGATGGCCTGCTAAATGAATTGCAATTTAAGTATTGGTGCTGATTATTCTTTTTGTTGCTGTTGCTTGAATGATTTTTTTCTTCGGTTCTTCGCTTCTTTTGAGCGGGTGGAACTAATTGATGAGGTTGATTAAACTGTTTTTCGTCTGTTTCGTTTGAAGAAAGATGAGGGCTGTTGAGTGCTATTTGAAATAATTAATTGGATTGAATTAATGTGTTTTTGCTTTTTTTTGTTGTTTGTGGCGTGCTCCGTTTCTCAAAAGTTCAACAGTAATGAGTCTTCAGATTTCTTAAGAGAATATTTCGTGTATGTAGATGTATTTAGATATAAAGTCTTGTTAATTAGTGAGTATTAGATGTCTAGACTAGCGAGTATGAGATTTGATCGCGTAACCTAAAAGTATAATTTTTTATTTACCTGCTATCGAAATAGATTATATTCTTAAATCAAAATAAAGGCCTTCTTTAATAAGTCAGTGACTTAAAAAGTTATTTTTTTCTATAAAAAATCGTTGTTTTTAATTTTTAATAAAGTCGCTCAAGAAAATCGTTAAATTTGGATTTTGTTCAGTTTAATTTAATCGTTATTTTGTTAATTTTATTTTTATTTTGGATTTTGGATTTTTATTTATTTTTGATCTTTTTCAACCGTTATAATGGGGTCTTCGTTTTTATGACCGATTTAAATATTTTGCGATCTAAAAAATTAAATTGGAAAATAGCGAGTTTTTTGATTGAAAACATTCAGAAAATAACATTTCTTAACCGAAAAATTAAAAATAATAAAATAGCGGTTATTTTTGATTGAAAAATTAAAACTCATAAAATAACGGCTATTCTCTATCGAACGTCTTACATCGAACGTTCTGTCATTCGCCACACTGCCCACCACCTGAGTCTAGTTGTTGGCTATTTCAAACGTTGCAATCCTTTCCAAATTGACTTCGTTTTTGTTTCTCGGTCTCTTCACGGTCTTGATTCAATACACCGCGTCATAACTATCTTTCTGATTCTTGTCTACGTTCTCTCTCAAGTGCTCTTCGATGGTTCAATTTAACCAGTCTTTTTTTTTGCGTTTTTCTGATGCCCAGTATCTGGCACGTCTCTAGGAACACCGCCGCCTAAAAATTTATCTACTACACTGTAGCACTACTAAGTAATTTTTCTCAATCTGCTGGAAGGAAATGGACCGGCTAAATTCATGGCTATGCGCCCAAATGGGGCACTCGTGATTCCCATGTGCGCTCCACTGGGTTAGTTGGTTGGTAAAGGCGTCACTAATAACATCATTTTGATACGCTTTTTTGGGATCGTTAATTTTATCTGCTTTCCTGATTCGTTGGGTTCGTCCTAAGAATCTATTTAGGCTAGTAATGATGAATTTGGAGATCTCCCCAAGATTTTGGATGGAAAAAGTCCTGAGTGTATTCTGCCTTATTTGTGCCATTGCCGGGAACTCGCTACGGTAGTGTAGGACCGTTTCTTTGCTTCCCTCAAGATAACAGCTACGGCACGGCGTGTTCTATGGAAGGCCCATTTTAGCTGCATGTTCAGCAAGGGACCAATGTTCCGTTATCGTGGCTGTTAATATGCCTTTATCTTTTCTTGACCTCTTTTGAAGTTCTTCTGTCATTGGTTTGTCATAATGCCAACATAAGTTCCTCGCAGTTTTGCATTATCAGCCATACGTGTGAATTGCAGATGCAGTTCCCTTTTAATGAGTCCGAGTGGACAATTTATTGTCGCTGTTTCGGATCCATCAAAGATGCTCCACAGTTACCATTTTGCAATTCTTTGATAACGTCCGCGACTCTTACCTTTGGAACTATTATTAGATTCCGTGAGCATTGGTCGTCTCCATTTTCCCACTATTACTAGATTCCGGGAGCATTGGTCGTCTCCATTTTCCCATATATGCTGCAGTATGTCTTTTTCCGCTGA